CTTGTGGTAATTCAGTTTTGATATGAAGAGTTCTTCAGTATATACGTCCAACCACACTGGGAATGACTGGTTTTTAATAATAATTGATCAAAATGACTTCAAAAACTCGCTAATAGCAGGTATATGTATGTAAAAATGGCAGAACACAGGTGCCATTGAGTCAGGGCTGCAGCAGCCTGTCTATCACAGCTGGCTCATGACATCATGGGCAAAAGCAGCCACATCTGGGCTGTGTGGCCCACGCTGTCATTCAGGTGATTCCACTGGGCTGTCTAGTATTGGTTTGTACAGTTTTGGTATGTTGTTGTGGCAGGGAAAGTCTGAAATGACTGCTGGGAAGGTGTGGAAGAACAATGCAGGGTCTGTAATCTCGGTGAATGCCTGGCCTGTACGTACATTTACATATTTAGCAGATGCTTTTGCCCAAAGCGACGTACAAGTAGCATATTACAAAGTACCTGCTCTCAACGAGTCAGACAGGCACTGGGTTCAGCTGCCAATGAACACCCAGGTACTATTGCAAGCAGTAGTGGAGCAGGACCTGCACATCATCTCCAAACAAACCAAGAACCAAGTGCAACATAAGAACATCCAGGGAATTAAGAGACATCTTGCTAGTAAATGAATTCATGGAACAGATGGGTCTTGAGGCATTTCTTGAAGGTCAAAGTGCACTGTTTTTGAGGTTCCCTGTGCTTGTGTTTCTGTAGAGATGGTGTGGTTGTTTTCGTTTTTTTTTTTTTTTTTTTTTTTTTTAAATTTTCTAAACATTTTAATTACCAAATGGTTAGGGAAGCGCACTTGTGATTGAAAGGTTACTGGTTCGAATCCCAGACGAGCAAGGCACCACTGAGGTACCCTGAGCAGGGTACCGCCCCCAAGCACTGCTCCCCGAGCGCTGAATTAGCTGCCCACTGGTACAATGTTACAATGTCACATATGGGTTAAATGTAGAAGACACATTTCATTATTGTTCACTGTGTGCTGTGGTGTGTCAACATTGACAGTCACTTTCACTTTTTCAAAAGAGAGGCTGCACTCATGACGGCCACCTGAAACACAGCCACACAGAGCAGAGTTAAGCATCTTGCCCAGCTGAGGGCAGGTGTGCTTAAACATGGAAGGACAGAAGTGCCAGGCAAGTCCTAGCAAAGCAAAAAGACCAAAAGCCACAAAGGTCCCCAAAGCAGGCCGTTAGGATGGTGCTGTGTCTAACGGTATGTTGTACGGTGTAGCTGGAATCTCATTCATTCAGTATCTATCTAAATGGCACTATTGGTGATCTTACAGGAGATGCTTAATGGATGGTGCTTGTTTGACAATTAGCGTGTTATAACTAGGAGACAAACAGGAAACTGTTGAGTATATTCAAGAGGTAACAAGGAGATTGAATGTGCCTCCTGAATCAAGAGTTAATCTCTCCGTAGGAGCTGAATGACTTGGCCCGAGACCCACCGGCACAGTGTTCAGCAGGCCCAGTTGGCGATGACAGTAAGCGCCGCCTACCGCAGAGCCACTGCATGCAGCCCGCGCTGCCGTGCCAGTCTCTGACAGTGCCTCTCTTCTTTCTCTTCCAGTGTTTCACTGGCAGGCTACAATCATGGGACCTGTAAGTATCCCCCGGAGCGCCTTTGGACACCAGCCGCGCACTCGGCCAGCCTCGTTCACGTTTTTTTCGCCTTTCCTCAGAACGACAGTCCGTATCAGGGTGGCGTTTTCTTCTTGACAATTCATTTTCCTACTGACTACCCTTTCAAACCCCCTAAGGCAAGTACCCACTCATAGGGGCTGTCCCCTCGTCTCCTCCAGGGAATTAAATAGTTACATATGCAAAGTATATTGATCTATCTTTGATAGCAGCTGAAATTTTGGTCAATCGTGTCGAGCTTATGGAGGGTCTCTGCTCCTGAGTTTTGTCACATAACTCTACTGAGGAAATTTAGCTTTCTTGCACTGCTTAAAGTTTGTCACTGTCAGTGAAGGGTCTCTTTGCCGAATGCAGGCTAGAATGTCTTTCCCTTTCCTCTAGGTCGCGTTTACCACAAGAATTTACCATCCAAATATTAACAGTAATGGCAGCATCTGCCTGGATATTTTGAGATCCCAGTGGTCTCCTGCTTTAACTATTTCTAAAGGTGAGATTGTTCTCTGCATGCCTGCTCAGTGGCAGCTGACCTACCCCACCAGCATTACAAGGGGGTGGGTTGACGTTAGGCGTATTGAGGATGTGTAGTAAATGGGGATGCTAGTGAAGATGTTAGCATGCTCCTTGTTGGATCTGCTGTCCAGCCCCATAAGTTGTAAAGTGTTGAGTAAATCATACAGGTTGTGCTGCCTACGTTCGGCTGTGGATTTTCCCCCACAGGCATCTTTGTATGGGGGAGTGCATCGCGGAGCTGTGTGTTTACCAACGGACTCTCTTCTCTTGCAGTTCTGTTGTCCATTTGTTCCCTCCTATGCGACCCAAACCCCGACGATCCACTAGTGCCGGAGATAGCGCGTATCTACAAAACAGATAATGAAAAGTAAGCCCATTTCCACACAGAGAGCGTGCTTTAGCGGTTCCCCTCACACAAGCTGCCCGCTATGACGGCGGGAAGGGTCCGGGTAGCATGCTGTGATGGGCGTAGCCTGTGACGCCGCGCTCATTCTGCCTCATTAGGTACAACAGGCTAGCGAGGGAATGGACGGAAAAGTATGCCTCGCTTTAGGGTAAGGAGCCTGGCATGGGCGTGGGCCGTGGTTTGGCTAGAGGGCGCTGCAGAGATCTTGCCCCGCCAGGGTTTAGTTCGTTAAGGGGGGATGGAAGCAGGAAGTCCACAGCCTGGCTGTGGGCCAGTTAACCTGTCGACATTAACAGCTTGCTGTAGGTTAATTGTACTCTGCAACAGTGGGATGTGTTATAAAGCTCTCATAACACTTTACCTTGAGCATTTTTTGGTCGGTGGTTTTCTCACAAAGTCTGCAGGGTGTGTGAATTGGGGTGGGGTGTAACTGCTTAGTTTAATGAATGAGGGATTTAAAAGGCTGTCTGCATGGTTTATGGGAGTCTGCAGTTCAGTCCCTGGGAGGTAAAGTGCCTGCAGTGTCTGCAGTGCCGTTCTGCTGCAGTGTACTGAGTTTGCAGTATAGGAACTGTCGACATTGCCCTGTTTGGAGCTCAGATGGGACTCTCCTCTCTCCATATCATCTGAATCGAGTGCTGCTGGTGTCCTGCCTGTCTGTGCCATCCCAGCCTTGTCCCTCCAAGCTGCTGTCGGGCAGCCATTTGCAACTGAGTGACGTCACCCTGTTGAAAAGTGCTTAGGTGCCGTTAGCTTGTGCTTAATTCCTATAAACCAGCTTGGATCCTGATTGGCTGGATTCAGTCCTTTGGCTGTCATGTTCTTGGGTTTGCTGTGTAGGACCCTCGCAGAATACGTATCAAAAAAACTGTGAATGCTGTTCTGAGGTTTGTTTCTCTTGTCTTAAGGTACAACAGAATAGCTCGGGAATGGACCCAGAAGTATGCCATGTGATGCTGTCTAGTGGGAGTTGGGACAAGCTGCATTATAGCTGGAATAAACTTCAAATTACTGGTTTGTTTCTTTTTCATTTTTCTTTTGCTGCTCCCTCATATCAGGCCATATCTCCTGGTGGTTTTTTTTGCCCTTACGTCCATCCACATGCTCTTAAAAGACGACTGCACCCTCAGCTGTGGACATGACAGCAAAGCATGTCAGCAAACGGTCGCTCTGTTACGAGGCGCTTGCATCACGCGCTGAAGACACCGCCGCTGGTGGGAGCCACGCCCCCACTGCCCCCTCCTCTTCAGGATCCCCCTCGCTGCTGGGATGCCGGTCTTCCCCCCCTCCCCCCCTCCCTAATCCCTAAAAGCATTTCTGATGGCATTTTGAAAGACAGGGCCTCTGAGCATGTATTTTATGCACATAACGGACTGTGTGGAGGAGAGCTGTAGAGGGGCCGTACCAGCAGTGAAACAGGAGTGCTGTATTTTATGCATGTTAATGAATAACTCCTTCAATATTCTGCTGACCGCGGGAATTTTGGGAGGGTTGGGGTAAACGCATTAGGGCCAGAACTTTTGTTTTTGTTTTGCATTTTTTTGTTTTGTTTTTAGAAGTGAGCTATTGGTTAATCAATCTTCCACAACACTGTTCCCTTCTAGCACTGAATCTGTGATGCAAAGCTCTCAATGGTTGACCGATCAACTAATAGCTCTGCTAGATATTTTATTTTCCTTAATAAAGTTGCGTAAACTGATTTTGTTTTGTCTGGTGTTTATTTGTACCTAATATGTGGGACTCCTTGGGAATTTCACAGTATGAGTTAAGTCAAAACCTATTGGATCAATTGTAATTTAGAGATGTTTAAACTGTTGACTGATTTATTTCTCGGAGACAGTAGATGCACACGTTTGTGTGTTTGGCTATAGGCAGAGAGAAGTGGCACGTTCAGGTGTGCTGTAGCACAGAATCCGGGGTAGCAATTCACGTGCATGTACTTTATGTTCTTTAACGTCTTGAATCATGCAGAGCAGTGTCTCCCATCCAGTCCATGCTTTTGCTCCTTCCATCGGGTTGCTGGGAAGAACTTTAAATGTCTGGGGTGCCCAAGGACCGGGCTGGGAAAAACTGATATAAAGCATTTGAAGAATTCAATTCAAACACCTTGTTCTGTGTCTCTGTAAGATGCCTTTTAAACATCAAAAATATATTTAAAGCCCACTGTAATGCGTAAGTAACTAGTGTATTTTATGTTTCAGCATGAGGCAAACTTTCTGCATTTTACTTTCTACTGAGGATCTGTTTTAACATGTAAATCCCGTATTTTTATAACCTATAAAATTATACACTGGCATTTTACTCTAAATGAATCATGTCACTTATTCAAAGGTATAACAGCAAAGGTCCTGGAAACAATTTAGATGTTAGTCTTTTTTTAATCTATTTTTAAAAATGTGCTTATCCATTAGCTTTTTTTATTTAAAAGTGACTGCATGAGTTAGAAAAGCATTTTATTTTTTCCACTTTTTATAATGAAAAAAAACATGAAAACATACTCAAATGTTCAATTATATCCTCCATCTCCCAGTTCAGACCAGGTGGCAGTGGTGAGATGGTTTAATACATGCAAGACATCTGAAGCTTTTTTTCCATGAATACATGAAAAATACATGAATACCTAATATAACACTTTACGCCATACTGGCATTAATATTACTGGCAAAAACAAAACTCCACCTTCCAAAGGCCTATAAAAACAAACAAAACCCACCAGGCTATTGTAGCCTAACTATTGGGTTTGTTTATCAGTTTCATAGATCACATGGAGTATTTCATTGTGTTGTACAGACTACATTCCTCCAGGTCTGAACTAGAACTTGTCTTTACAAACCATTATTCATCCAGCATCTATGGGCCTTTCAGATTTCAGCAGGCAAAGTTACAGGCGAAGAGGAACCACATCCCCTCTGTCTACAATAATATCTTATCCGATATAATGTGAAAAGTATATGTTGAAAAACCAGGCAAAAATGGCAAAACAAGAGGCAGAGAAGACAAACAGGTACAAAACAAAGGCAATTTAGTAACAAGTGAAAATAAAACTGCCTTACAGGCAAAAGGTTTGTCTTTGAGGTGTAACCATTTGACGTAAAACATGCAGCAGGAAATATCTTGGCTGAAATAAAGTTTGTCACGGCTTCTGGTTTTTTACAAAAACGGAGAGTGACGCCGCTGTGGCTGGTCGGCGGTGGGAAGAGGCATCTGGGACGTCAGTCTCTCAGGTTCTTTCAGGTTCTGTCAGGTTCTGTCCAGCTATGTAGGAAGTGCTGGTGTTCAGGGAATTCGCACCCAGAGTCCATGAAAAGAAAATCTGACTCACCGTCTTTCTTGAACCAGGACTTTTATCAAGCCCAATGTGCATGGCAACGTCAACTAAGTCAGAGTCCATTCTGACGTTCGCTGCGCTCTGGCTCCCCCTGCTGGAGCAGAAGAACTAGAACATTTTCTCCATTTCTGTAGCCCATCAACTTGGTACTATAGCTTTATAAATGTACAAAGTCCAAACAGGACTCCTTGTGATAGTAAAATGTATCTTTGAAACCATGTTGATGTATTTCAGCATGTGTACAATGATACATTTTTGTAGAAATTGTCAATAGGATTTCCCTCTATTCAAGTAAGACAGTTGACACTATGCTTGTACTTTCAGTAGGTGAGCTCAGTAATTCATACAGAGCATGCTTTCACATCTTTAAATGTAAGTTATTAAGTGTCCTTCAGAAAAATGTCTGCGTGTGTCTGCCATATCTTCAGGTTGTCTCTAGCAGACGAACTCTGCCTTCTCCGCCATAAGCTGCAGATGGTCCATAGTGAGAGAGGTCCAGGTACTGCCCCCCCCCCCCCCCCAGGCTAGCGCAGGGCCACGGTTAAGGATCAGTGTTCCCCTTCGAGGCAGGAGCCACGCCCCTTTAGGGTGACGTCCTGATAAGGACGGAAAGCTGTGAAAGTGGAAGCGGGTGAAGGCGAGAATGATGGATGAAAGTTGAAAAGTATGGGGAGGAAGAGAGAAGTACAAAGAAGGGGAATGAAAAAGTCAGGATCTAAGATGGCGATATAATTAACATAAACATGTTCTGCTTTGATGAGCATTATGGGCATTGTGCATGTTACCCTGCAATATCGCCACTTTCATATCGTCATACCGCCCAGACATTATACCGCCCTTTACGATATATTATTATTTTACAATACAGTTCTGGCTGTATTTAGAAATCTTGGTGAAAAAATTCGTAAGTGGGGTTTAAATTTCACTAAAACATTTTTACGCTGTCATATTTATCACAAACAAATCACATCAAATATCAGAAATTTCCCCAATATTGTACTGTGACATATTAACTTGTATCCAGGTTGGTCCCAGAAAGGGTGCTGTCACGTGATTAAAATATCATTTAGCAGGCATATAAATTGAAGCATCCTGCTTTCCTATTGGCTGATGGGGTTGAGCATGCTTCTCTTACATATTAATTGGTGAGTGGTGACCTCCCAGCTTCACTCACACAAGCAGAAATTAAGTATCAACACTATAATGTTCTGTATTCGTACAGCTGTATTTACTGGAGAAATTCAGGTTAAAAATACTTCTATTGCACATCTTTTTGGTTTTTGCGTGACTAGGCCATGACCTTAATCTACTATCAGGACAGATATGCATCAGGAGAATGCCCCCACTGGTTTGTTGTTAAGGAAACATCTCAGAGTCAAATTCCCCCTGAATTGAATGAATGAATTTAACCACAAAAACACTGAAATGTGCAGCCCAAGCGAGTCTACAAAGAGACGCACTGCAAATAACCGCACTGTCCCCAGAGGCCACCAAGGGAAGGACAACCCAACCAAGCAATAGAGGGCAGGGTGCTGTTTCATTTAGAGAACTGCGATGCAGCGATCAAATCTTATTCTCACAGGAATTTACAGACATTAGCGAAATCCAAAGGACAATAAAACTGCTGATGGCCAGCAGGGGGCATCTTAGTCAAACCAGACTCGTAATCTAAGGCTGATTTGCACGTAACTGCTTTGTTACCCTTCAAAGACATATTTTACTCTAAGAACCTCTAAAAACAAGTGCCGCAGTATAATCCAAGTCAAGTGAATTTTTATAGGACAGGAGAATAGAGAAAACCACGTAGATTATGTCCCTTTTCTGTTACCTGTGATCTGGTTAAAATCAGAGGGTGCTGACAAATTCCAGGTGGTCCAGAAGGCCTGGAAAATGACCTTCTGCAGGGTGTAGAGTGCCAGACTAATAACAGCCGTCCCAAGAGCCTCCAGAAGTTCCTCCTGAGTATCATGGGACACCTACAGTGAAGAGAAGCCGTCACCATGCCGCCCCAGCAGGAACTCAAAGCTACAGTCTCAGAAACATCATGAACCCCTGTGCATCCTACACATATGAGTCAGGCCACTGTCACGGGTTAGCAATAGCGCTGAGAAAAGCACCTACTACTCTATTATCCTGTACAATTTCTACAGTACGACTTGGGCAAAGCTGAACATAAGCCAAAAAGTGAAATGAGTGAGCTGATGTTTGCTGGTTTACTCAACAACTTCAGCCCACATATAGATTTTGAGCAGATAGCGATGGGCGGGTGCGGTAGTGTGGAGTCAGTAGAGATGCATAAGACTGATGTCATGCACATGGATAGAGGCCTCATTTTAGGGCAGTCTGGCAGGACGCCGTACCTTATAGCGACCGCATTGTGCCCTTGCTGGCGAGGGCGGGACAATCTGCCCTTCATGGCCAACCAGCTTCTCCCAGCTCAGCTCACGTTGCCGGGACTCCGTCCCCAACAGCCTTGTGGAGCCTGCGAGAACCCAGCACGGTTCACTGAGGGCCACGGGATGTCAGCCTCCTCCATGCCCCAAGGACGCTAGCGCTAATGCCAAAAGCATTGGCGAGTGAAGTTACCTTCTGGGTGTGTCATGGGGGAGTGGGAAACCTCGATGGGGGGGTCGCATCGCTATGGACAACAAAAGGGGGGAAATCATGGAATGGCAGAGTGGGAAAATGTGGAAAGATGAGTTGGGCATTGTAGCCATAAGTGGTAGAGCTGATGCAACATGGAGGAGAAGCAGCAAAGTACTTTTACATATGAGAAATTTACGTCAGGGTGTCATGCAAAACCAACAAGGACAATCAACATAAATTATATACAGAACTGTGCAAAATTCTTAGACAAAGAATTTTTTTGGTCATCTTAGCAGTTAACATTTGTTAGCAATTAACACTTACTAACTAGATAAACAGTCAAACATTTCATCTAAAGATTTTTGCATAGTACTATCCATACGCAAAATAATGTGCTTAGTACAGATCATGATCAGCGGGTGGTTACATGGGCAGGGGGGGGCAGAGGGATGGACAAGGCACAGAATTAGTGGTTATTGATTTGCCAGCTGCTGTAGAGGTGTGTGGTTTTGGTCTTGATAGAATTCACTCTCTCGCTGCAGAGGGAGTGAGCAGCCCATGCTAATGAACGCCGGCAGTGTTAACTCAGTGGTGCTGTCATCCCGGAAGTGCTCCTCCCAGGCTTTGTTAGTCACTTTTCACTAGTAACGATGACATCACCCACCTACCCCCCCCACCACAGTGCCACGATTAGTGAACCTCACCGTCTCAGCTGGGGTGGCCCACAGGGGGTTGACTTCCTCATCACCGATCTCTGCTGTGCAATGTGGCTTGTCTCTGCAGTGGGGGGGGCAGTGGCTTGCATCTGGAGGAAGGGGAGGGGATGTATGAGGGATTCGCCAGTGAGACACGCCCATTCCGCTCAGTAGGGAAAGACAGCAAGGGAGGGGCGAAGAAGCAGGGACTTCATTTTTTAAAGTCAGGGGGCATAAGAGGGGCCATAATTTGTACTGAACGACCAACCTTATCCTTAGCCAATGACACGTTTTGAATCAGGGAATGACAGGGGAGGGGGCCAATCAGCTTTCAGCTGTGGCCCCGCCCCTCTATAGATCCCTGAAGGAGGAAATGATGTAGAACAATAGCGTTTAACTCTGGTTGCCATTTCCCCCTGAAAAGGAAGGATATTACCTGGCTCCATTCAGTGTTCCTCGATTTTAACGGGCCAGCACTGTCAAACATAGGCTTCCGTGGCAAAGCCATGGACACAGAATGACGGACATGAGCCCTGCATGTAAGAGGGAGCCACCGACCCACACCGTGAAAATGTTATTAACGTGTTAGGAAATGACTCATCCACTCGAATGCTGCTGCTGACAGATGGGAGCCACAGACAAATACGTGGTGGGAGTTTTCAGCTTGAGCTCTGTATCCTCACACACCAACAGACATCTGCCCATCTTATAGCTGCTTATCCTGGGGAGGGGTGGAGGGGCTTGAAGCCTCTCTCAGGCAGCATGGAGCTGCCTGACACACCCTCAGTAGGGTGCCATATGTATTTACGCATTGGCTGTTTAGAGATGCCAGTTATAAAGCTGGAGGAAACCCATGCAACATGGGGAGAGCAAGCAAACTCCACGCACACAGAGCTAGGGGCGGGATTTAAACCCCCCGCCCTGGGGATGTGAGGCAACACCTATACCCACTAAGCCACTATGCATAGGAGAATGAAACTGCAGCTGAAACATTCTGGAGGTGCCAGTGGGGACCTTGCAGAGTTCTGCTTCAATTTACCGGCACTGTGGTTCTCCTCGAGGGGTGCAGCGACTGTGCTGGCTTCAGGCCCCGGCCTGGGCTCCAACGTGGCCCGCCTCTGCATCTCGCCATGCCTGATCTCAGCCCCTGTCCACCGGCTGTGGCTTCCCTCTCCTGATCCCGTCCCCGGATTATCTTTGGGATTACCATTGCTGTCGTCTCCGGTGCTGCCTTCAGGACCGTGACAGGCTGTCACAAAGGGACATCAATCACAAGCCTGTCCTTGGAGAGGCAAAGTGAGAGAGGCGGGCACCCTCTACCATGATAACCAGTTCACGATTCTATATGCCATTATAGTGACCAGACAGTACATTTGCAAAACACACTCAAAATAAGCATCAAAATCTCAAAATCAGCAACCATCTCAGAAATAGATCCATCGGTGCCCTTTTTCTCACCGTGCTTTAAGCCATTCCCGACAGCGCCCCCAGTGCCCCCAGTCCCGCCTGAACCGTGGGAGAAGGCATAGCCATTGCCGTAGCTGTTGTAGCTCGAGTAACCCTGATAGAAGACATGACCTGGAAGGCAAATGCAGCTGCATTACTTCAAAAGGCATTGACCCCCTTCAGTGAGGCTTCCAGGAGGCTGCAGGAGGTCTCAGTCAGGTTAAGGAGACATCAGGTTTGCATAATGCTCTATAATTCCATGAGAGCATTTGTCTCCTCCTTTCAGATTCAAGGATTGCAATGTCTCCCATGACAGATCCGGCTACCTGTTCCTCCAGCCGGACCTCCACCAGCGGCGGGGCCAGCCCCACCTCCTCTGTACAGCCCACCGCCCCCTCCGTTTCCTGGGTTTCCATAGTCTTGGAAGTTGGGGAGGGTCTTCTGTCTCTTCCTCTGCACCTCTTCTTTATCTGCAGTATATGGAAGAAAGACTGTAACCATGAAAAGACCATCTTTACTAAAGACTCCAGACTGTCACGAGGTCAGGAGCACAGAAAGCCGGTGGATTTGGGCGGGGTCTGCTGGATCCGGCCATACCTATGACCTGCGGGTGGTAGGTGAAGGGCTTCGGCTCGCTGGTCTCATTGTCCGATTTCCTTTTGAGCTGCACGAACACAGAGATGGGCTTCTGCAGGTTCAGGTCTCGGTACTTGGGGGTCTTGAAGACTATAGCGAACTGGGAGAAATGTAGATGGGAGAAAAGGGAGATTAGAAAGGAAAGCACTAAGAAAGGTGACGGTGACAGCTTAGGCACATCACGCAGCTTTTACAGACGACCCGGGATAATGCTGCTTTTCCAGCTCCAGGCTGTGCGACATACCTGCCGGTGGACGTCAGTGGGGGAGAAGTCCCCAAAGTCCTCCCACATCAGCCCCGAGTCGTCGTCTTCGTAGAACCGCACCTGGATGTCATCTGCCCACGGAGACAGAGGCGAAGCGTCAAACGGGAACACTCCCCACCCCCGCTACAGTCTTCACGGGCCTCCCACTCTGTCTGGCCAGCGGTTTCCTGAACCTCAAGGGGAATTAGCGAGGCCTGGAGGGACGACCCATTCCACACGACGGGCCGGGCTCAGATCCCCCGATGCCCGCTTTCGCCCCTTTCAAGTCAACCTTTCCCAGTAAAACGGTACAGGACACCCCCGGATTCACAGCCACATTGTTTCCTGGGAATCATGCGAGTTGGCAGTCCATTCATGCCATACCATCATGCACATGCTAAGCACACATCTGCGCCCTGGGTCAGGTCCTGCAGAGACTGACCATTTACGCTCTTCATTCTTCTGCCTATTGCTGGCTGGTTGACTCCAGTTAAGAACCTCTGACCATGGATCAAACATCTAGGATCTAAAGACACAGACCAGCATCTCTGAGTTCACTAAAGGTGCCATAGAATGAAAATCTGCAGGCTGTTTTGAAATTCGTAGACTGTTATGTAACAGTCTTAGCCACGCCCCCAAACTTTACACATGCCAGCCCACTTTCAAACTGAATGGACATGCGCATTCGGACTTCAACAGTTCTGCATGAATTGTGAAGAACGAAGTGGAGGACAGCAGCGAAAACGGCAGGATGCATGCATGGGTGTGCTGTTTGAGATGTCGGTACTTTTCATACCCTTCCTAACAAAACCAAACTGTCAACAGACATGGCTGATGTTCATCTTTAACAAGCAAGTCAAGAGTACATTTCCCAAAAGCTCACGTTAGCAGCTAACATAGCTTGAACCATTTGTTGCATGGCTCTAACTATGTAAGTCGCTGACATTGCTAGCAGTTATGCTTTTGGGAAAATGCAGTCCAGTTTAGCAGGGGAATAGTGAACAACATTGCGAAGTCTGTGATGCTGACATTGCCAAGAGGCTTCGGAACTTCCTACAGCGTACGTTTGATTAGCTAAATAAATATCTAATCGACACTGCAGTAAAAAAAACTCCAAATTCCTTACAAACGGCACATTTACAAGCTGCTGAGCTTGGTGCTTGGAGTTCTTGATAAAACTTGCATGAAGAAGCCAGCATCATAAAATCATTAGTGGGAAAAATAATTTCAATGTTCTTGTTACAATGCTGAAAACAAAGCTATGATTATGCTAACATTGTGCCTAGGCTGAAGTGGGACTATTAAAGTTACAAGCGGCAAACTGTTCCAGGAAACATTAAATGACAAAACTTATCACTCAGACAGCTGTCCCTTGACATCCGATTCCTTCTCTAACACTGGCTCAAACATATATGGTTGGATCCCTAAACGCTTCATGTTTGACCTCGCCTGTAGTGATCTGTGTTGGTTCTTTGTGAGCCATCGCAGTGCTTCACTGCAAACCAGCTAATCAGAGCTCATAAACATGTATTAATGAGCTCACCAAATAACAGAAAACAGCCTGTTTCATCCTAGGGCTGGACTATGGGTTGTAAATGGGCTTGTAAAACCACTTTTGGACTATTTAGACCAAACCAAGTTCATATACCTTCTGTGTAGTCACCAGAGAACAATTTTGGAAAAAAATGTATTCTATGGCATCTTTAACATAAGAGCTGAAAGGTTTGCATGGATGTTCAAAAATCCATAACTGGTATCTGTGGAAAAATGTATCTGTGGGAAGATGGTAAATTCTGCCTGTAGGTAATATCTCGAAGGGTGATGCAGATACAGTTTCCTCTTATAAATACAAAACCCAACTTCAAAGCACATAATCTGATATATATCAAATTGCACTCCAGTAATCATTGCAATTATTGTAATTCTTGCAATCTTGACTCCAAATTTCTGGTGATTAGTATGCAAAGATGTGAGCTTTAAAAAAATCACAGTGATTGTAATATGTAGCCAGAGGCCTACACATCCATTTTTCACAAGTCTGCACACACCTGCTATTGATGCATTTGTCTCTACATTATTTGCCTTATAGTAAATGTGGCCATATACTTCAACTGAAATACGACATCACATGTGCCGTAATCTCCTCAGTGATCGACATTTCGGCACACCGCTTGTGCAGAGTCCTCAAGGCAAATTTCTCCATTCGTTCTGATCCCACCCACTGTCCACGATAGGCCAACATAAATATGGCGCCGCAGAATTGGTCAGCAGGACTAATTATGCAGTTTCCAGCATGCTTTGCACAGCACCGTGCACATCAATAAACAACTTATTCATGTTGTAAATAGTACATGTAACCGTGCAATGTTTGCCGGGGAATGCGTGTGTTTTGTTAGTGTTTAACCATGAGTGATGTGTAAAATGTTGGCTTCCCTGTCTGTGTTGCTGCTAGTATTAGACTAATAGTGACTGTTAATAAAGCGCAACTTACATTTCCAAAAGAGCTGTCATCTCCTTTATTAAAATGAGACACGCACTCACCACAATACTCTTATTTACCCTCTGTATATGGGTCTGTTATATCGAAAGCATTCTGCACCCTCTAGGGTTATGGTGTGACACAGAGCGAACAAGGGGGTGGCGTCATTTTACATATGAGACTGTTTGGGCCAATCAGTTTCGCTTACATTTTGTCCAAACGTCGTTTGTAGTATACAGCCACCTTTAAAGGCCTTGAGGCAGTGAAGTGAAACATATCAAAGTTTACAACAACCAAGGGAAATGTTCAACATCTTTTCTCAAATTTTACACTTCAAAATAACCCCATTTTGGCTTTGATGACAGCATTGGCATTCTTTCAACAAGCTTCCAAATGTAGCCACCTGGAATGCTTCCCCAACAGTCTTGAAAGAATTTCTGCAGGTTTTGAGCACAAGTTGGCTACCTTGCTCTCACTATTTGATCCAACTCATCCCAAACCAGCTCTATAAGGGTTCAGGTCAGAGGTCACCTGTCACAGCACCCCATCTCATTCCTTATTCACAAGATAATACTTACTACATAACGTCGAGGTGTGCTTAAGGTCATTGTCTAGTTGGAAAATGAATGATTTTCCGTAGGTATTTGTGGACTTGTGCCTCAGGGACATAAATCTTTAGCTTCGTACACCTGTATCAGGGCCGCGCTCGTCTGCAAATATGCCAGAAAGGTCCCTGTCCTCACTGTGGCACAAACGCCCCACCCCAGCGCCTGACACGCTCCCCCTCAGCCCTGCTACTCACTTCCTTCCCCTAAATTTACATGAACAGTGAGGGGGGAAAATCCCTCAACACTGGCCCGGGAAACTTCCTCCAGCTGCGCAGACATGCTGCAGACTGCCGGTGGGAGGTGGATGTGCAGCCGATGGGCAGGAAGCCAAGCAGCATCGAGCCAGTGACAGACCCATGCTGGTCGGCGACACCACCCCCACTTAGGTGCCATCTTCGTTGGCATGCTGGCTGTACTTGTCAGCAGAGAGGCCACTTCCAGCTTAACCGTGTTGTTTAGACTGGCTGTTCATCGGATGTGGCTTGCCAAATATTACCTTACAGAACCGGATACTCTGGATACTGGGCCCGATCCCGTACCCTGATAAACTTTTGCTAATTCCTAATAACATTCCTAGATACAGCGACACAACGCTCCACTGGAGAATTTAAAATACTTTCTCATGCGGTGGCAAGTAGCTCAGTGGGTACGGATAGGGTTCAAATCCCAGCGTCAGCAGAGTGATTTCACCATCGGAACCTTAAGCAAGACTTTTAACCCCTAATTGCTCCAAGGCTGACCCTGCTTACTGAAATATGTACACCTTAAATAAAAAATTAATTCTTTCTTGAACAAATCTGAACCCATGAAAACCCTCTGATGTGCAACTCCACTAACGCTGCAGTTTCCAGAATGCATTAAAAGTCTCTCCTCAAATTGCACCTCCTGGTCGCCTTTCACGGTGGTCCTACCTTTCTGCACCTTGTCACACAGCAGGTAGACCTCCTCCCCTCCCGTCACACAGCCCGCTGTGCGGTCCATCCTCACGATCTTCAGGTTGGAAGCATTAGGGGCTTCTGGCAGGGAGATACACACATGTGTAATTACACAGGGTCACTTGGACATGCAGTGCTCACAGAAAGTCCTGGAACACTTGCTTAATTCTGTATATGCCTGCGTAGGCTGAAGGGAACAGGCAGATATTTCAGATACGTTTAATATCTGACTCTGTACTTTGCTAGAGCCTCAAAGAGTCACAAAAATGTATTAATTTTATGAATCTTGTTGGTAACAGGATTGTGAGGTTTTTTTTGTACGAGTTTGTGTGTGTATGTGTGTGTCTCTGTGCGTGTGTGTGTATGTGTGTGTCTCTGTGCGTGTGTGTCAGGTACCCTGGCTACGGGACAGCTTCAAGCCCCCCACCACTCCACAAGCCCCCCACCACTCCCCAAGCCCCCCACAACCCTGTACTGGAGTTCCGGAAATGTACTTAAAGCCCAGCAGGTTGTTTGTGATAATAGACAGGTTTATCTGATAAATTAGCCACAGGTCATACGTAGTGAAAAAGACACACACCGGATATTTTATGAAATTCAGGTTAACAGTAATTTCGAGAACTGTTTTGGAAGATCACAAGAAACATCGACCATACGAACATTTGCGAAACATATACAATTGCTAATTTCCCTTTAATGTTATCAAACACCGAGCGGGAGCTACTCTTTGAAGTAGTTCGGTGTGTGGTTTTATTCTCTAAAACCCCATCTCTAGAGTGTTCTAACACTCATTTCAATCTGAGCTGGAGAAACCACAGGTGAATTTATGAAACCGGCAACATTAAGGTACATCAGACATCCCTCATGAGCAATTTCAGAGAAACAAAGGTGAAATATCACTATATTTCTCTAAATCAGACATAACCAAACAATCTACAATCTACTCATTATTTCTCAGCACAGTCCTCAGGGACCCCCAGACAGTGCACATTCTGTTGTTCCAATAAGGGTTTAGGTCACATCACAGGACCAAAACTGCACTAGTAAGAATCATGAATGACTTGCTTATGGTTGCTGATGATGGTTATGTTTCCCTGTTAGTCCCTGTAGTGCAGCATTTAATACCGTTGACCATGATATTTTATTGGAATGGTTATGGTCTTTGGTTTTAAAGGGCAGGCACAGTCTGGGTCCTTGTAGTGCAGCATTTAATGCCGTTGACCATGACATTTTATTGGAATGGTTATAGTCTTTGGTTTTAAAGGGCAGGCATAGTCTTGGTCCCTGTAGTGCAGCATTTAATACCGTTGAACATGACATTTTATTGGAATGGTTATAGTCTTTGGGTTTAAAGGGCAGGCATAGTCTTGGTCCCTGTAGTGCAGCATTTAATACCGTTGACCATGACATTTTATTGGAATGGTTATAGTCTTTGGTTTTAAAGGGCAAGCACAGTCTTGGTCCTGCACATATTTAACTGAACTCCACTGGTTTGTCCATGTGAACAATGAATCCTCTGAATCGACCGGAGAGTCGATTCAGAGTATGGTGTCCCGCAAGGTTCTGTCCTGGGCCCACTACTCTTCACCTTCTACATACTGGCTTAGTGATGTTATTAGGAAACATAGCCAGAGTTTTTATTGCTATGCAGATGACACACAGCTGCACACATCTGTTAAAACAGATGAGCTGTCACAGCTGTCACAGAGTGAGGGATGCTTGGCTGAAGTTAGGGGCTGGATGGCCAGTAACTTTGTTCTGTTAAATTCTGACAAAACAGAGGTGTTACTACTGGGCCCAGTGTGTTGTTGATATCATAAAGCTTGACCACTGCCTAGTCAATTTAAGCTAAAAGCTTAAGTTAAAATCCTTGGTATCACTATTGACTCTGAATGCTTACATAAATAGCGTCATTAAAACAGCTTTCTTCCATCTGAGGAATATCGCAAAACTTAGAACAATGCCTGCCCACCCAGCCTGACTACCCAGCCTGACTACACATCTGCCATCCTCCTCTGCTTGTTGCTGGACCGCACCCCCTCTCCATCCCGCCGAAGGAAGAAGCTTCCTCACCTGCCTGTCATGACATCAGCTGCACCTTCCGCATTTAAACCTGGACTATAGACAATACTTACTTTAGAAACTGGGACTTTGCTATTTTGGACTGGGACTTTGCCAGCCCTAGGAGGATGGGCTCCCTCCCCCCCATAGGCGCGAGAGGCCTATTTGAGCTCAGGGTGTGCAAAATCAGAACAACCAATAGACTTTACTGAAGTTCTTTGTATCATCGATAGCTATCAGGAGCTAACATCGGTAGCCTGTTTGGAGAAATAAAGTCACCTCTGAGCCGTTGTGACGTAAATAGCATAATGCTACGATGAGAGCATTTGAGGTAAATGATACATTTCAAAGGTGAGGATGAGTGGAGTACAGTCTAAACTTTTGTTCTTTTTTCAGGTTCTGGCCAGTCCTGACCAGGAGCTTGGACTCACTGCTGTCGTAGATCGGGTCAGAGATCACGGGATCCAGCCGGCGCGAGAACCCTCCATCACTGTCGGGCAGGAAGGCAGTGAACATCAAGCGCACCACACTCAGGTCCATCTTCTGGGCCTGGCTGGCGGCCACGCTGGAGATGAGGGTCCGCTGGTGCTCTTGGGTGGTATGACACAGACAGACGGGCATCTTAAGTGCAGAAGTCCGAGGTTTCCGGCAGCATACTTGCCATGGCGGCCCGGGCTGAACGCTAACCTGTAAGCTCCCTGGGCACACGGACCTCCCCCTGGATGGCGTCAATCTCCGGGTGGATGGAAACACCATAGTTGTAGCCCATCCTGTAGGCCTCCGTCATGCGCTCCTCCAGCTTCTTCTGGACATTCTTCTTGGTCACATGGAGGATGCCAAGATTGGGAAAACTGCAACATGTGCAGTAAAAACAAAATTAATAAAAGCAAAACTCCCAAAAACATCGAGGCAGATGAGCTGATTATATCAGAGCTGAAATTATCTGCATTTTGGGGCTGTTAACACCTACGTGCAACAAGCACCCTCTGAGTGGGAATTCTTCATACATGGTTTAAAACATTCAAGATCAAAGGACTCATCCAGGTTGGATACAGTTATCGGGCTATTTTGGTTCTAAGGAAATGATACGTAGGTGAAGGACATGCACATTTTGTGTCCGCATCCATTTTTGTAATTCTCTTAATAAATACATAGAATGCCTCACATTATTGTATAAAATGTCCTTAATGCAAATATATTTTGAAAACTTTCAAACAATATATGTGTAGTTTCTTCATTTATTCAAGTCCAAAAATGTCAGGTGATGCATCTGTCAGAACAAATGTGAAACTATGAAAACTGGAATTTGAGTAACTATATATATATATATATATATATATATATATATAAATTTGTTAGTGTTTTTGGCATGTGAAGTGGTACAACCTGTGAAAAACCATCAAAATATTGCAATATAAATATGATTAAACTGTTTTTAAAATTCTGTATATGAACTTGATATTAAGAATAAAAGTAAAAATTGCGCCGTGTCCAAGCTGACATAAGTGAACTGTGAACTGAAAAGCTGCAGGTGCTGCGACTGCAATCAATATTACTGCTATTAGCAGGGATGGACATAACTGGTACGCGAACGATACGCGCGATAATCCATTGTTTGTAAAAGCGCGATTGCGTACTTATTTTACGTGCATTTGCGCTGCTATGACAAGAAAATACCTTCTATTTTAACCTATATACCGCAAATGAAGTAGAGTTAGCATATACACTCACCTAAACGATCATTAGGAACACCATACTAATACAGTGTTTGACCCCCTTTCGCCTTCAGAACTGCCTTAATTCTACGTGGCATTGATTCAACAAGGTGCTGAAAGC